AGACATATATAGATACGAGCGATACTTGTCTCTCTTCCTCCATAATCAAGCCTTGTGATTATGTTTATGGAAAAAGAGAGACATATATAGAAACGAGCGATACTTGTCTCTCTTCCTCCATAATCAAGCCTTGTGATTATGTTCATGGAAAAAGAGAGACATATAGAAACGAGCGACACCTGTCTCTCTTCCTTGTGATTATGTTCATGGAAAAAGAGAGACATATATAGAAACGAGCGATACTTGTCTCTCTTTCTCCATAATCAAGCCTTGTGATTATGTTTATGGAAAAAGAGAGACATATAGAAACGAGCGACACCTGTCTCTCTTCCTTGTGATTATGTTTATGGAAAAAGAAAGACATATATAGAAACGAGCGATACTTGTCTCTCTTCCTCCATAATCAAGCCTTGTGATTATGTTTATGGAAAAAGAGAGACAGATATAGGACGACTAATACCTGTCTCTCTTCCTCCATAACCAAGTCCGCCCTTTCCGTAACCAAGCCTTGTGCTTATGTTTATGGAAAAGGAGAGACAGACATAGAAACGAGCGATACCTGTCTCTCTTCCTCCATGACCAAGCCCGCCCTTTCCGTAACCAAGTCTTGTGATTATGTTTGTGGAAAAAGAGAGACACAGATATAGAAACGAACGATACCTGTCTCTCTCTTCCTCCATAATCAAGCCTTGTGATTATGTTCATGGAAAAAGAGAGACAGATATAGAAACGAGCGACACCTGTCTCTCTTCCTTGTGATTATGTTTATGGAAAAAGAAAGACATATATAGAAACGAGCGATACTTGTCTCTCTTCCTCCATAATCAAGCCTTGTGATTATGTTTATGGAAAAAGAGAGACATATATAGAAACGAGCGATACTTGTCTCTCTTCCTCCATAATCAAGCCTTGTGATTATGTTTATGGAAAAAGAGAGACAGATATAGAAACGAGCGATACTTGTCTCTTTCCTTCCATGACCAAGCCCGCCCTTACCATAACCAAGCCTTGTGATTATGTTTATAGAAAAAGAGAGACAGATATCTTTCGATACTTTACCAGTCTCTTTTGGAGCACGAGGTGAAAGGACGACAGTAAATTTGTTGTATACCTCTTTCACTTGGTCTTGTACGAGCACCTAGGAGCGCTAGGAGCGAAGTTTGGCCGGCTCTGCCCTACGTTATCAATTTTTTATATTATGTACCTAGTATTACCTACGAGGTATTAATGTTTTTTAAATAGGTGGGAAGAAATCATGCGAGTGAGCCACAGTTGTTTTCCAATTTGTTGGTCAAGTTGCCCGAACTTCGAAACTTAGGGGCTAAACACACGGCCCACCTCGATTGGTTTCGTGTAAATTGGACAAAGTTGACTTTACCGCCGTTATTTGCCGAAATATTCGACATTCCTAAGTGCGAAGACGATCTACAGTGACAAGGTTTTTCGTTTTTCTTTTCTTTAGCAAAAGTGACCGAGATGTTCGTAACACAAAATACACACACACCCGGTTTATTAACATATTATAGTGTTGATAATGCTCCAGACATTCTCATCATCATATGTAACATTTTTGCTGTTTTGTTTTTCTTAACAGTGCAGTCGTTAAGTGGATGTGGCTTCGTTTCCCTTATTTTGTTTAGACGAAGACTTAACTTTGTCTACAAATCGTTCTTCTGTTTTACAACGAAACACTCTGTACATGGAAAAGTGTTGCTAAACAAGGAAGAAATCATCTCTATCTGGTGCTCTAAGCGTTTGACAAATTTCTAATATCGACAATTTTATGTTTGGATTTTTGTGTAAATGATGTGTATAAGTTATTAGTAATACCGTTTTTGTATTTATTGTTTGTACAAAACGTGAGTATCATAATTAAGTGTTATTGTTACGTTATTTTTTATCGGACAAGGGGGAAATGTAAAATTGGTGGATGAGCCCTTCACGTAACAGTATGTATTTATTTGTGTTTGAATCTATAGTTCAATCCGTCCACCAAAAAAAAAAAAACAGTTACGGGACGCCTGGCAGATGAGAAACATCGAAATTGATTTTTATTGAAGAAATTGAAAATGAAAGTAAACAAGTTTTTATATTTTGGCGACGCTCTTGTATGCGTGTAATAAAAGAAACGACAATAGATGTCAGAGATGGAGAGAGTGCCAAATCTTGGCGACTAGGTGGGCTGAAATTATCCGACGAGTCACGAGACTGACCGAATAATGCGTCGGTTTTCTTAGCATAATGTGTTGGCAGCCAGGCGGAATTACCCGACGAGTCACGAAGCTGACGTGCAAGAGCGTCGTCCCGTCTTGCCACGCTTGACTCAGTTTTACCCTTTAGGAACATCAACACAGGTACAGAGTATTCTATCAAATATATTTAAGTATTTTACTTTTTTAAAACACTACACACATTTACAATAGCCAAAAGAAAACAATTTTTTAGAACCAACTTTTTATTTTTATCAGGTTTTATATACATATATACATACATAATTTCAAAAGTAGAAATTGTGGAATTATCTAAATATTTTACTCGCTTTCGTCACACAAGTATACAGGGTGATATAAAAAGTAAACTTGTATACTTG